ATTGCTCTTTACCCTGGGGGCAAGGGACCATTGTTTATGGGAGCCACCCTGGGAATTGTTGCTGAGGCACTGGCCCCTTGTTTAGGAACACTTGCTGTCTGTGAGGAACTTGATGTTGCCGCTCTTGCATTTGATTCATTCTGCTGATCTGAACACCCACTAGCTGATGCCTGAGAGGAACCATCGGAAGCTGGGCCTTCGCTGAGTTCACTAGGAGAAGAACTGCTAGAAGAGGCTATGAAATGAGCAAGAACAAGAGTAGGGAACCTTTAAGTCTGTGAAACAAAAATGTTCTTTCTATTTTCAAAGGTGTATTTGTTTTCAAAAGCGTAGTGACTTTAATACTGACTGAAGTCAGTATTCAGTGCTTTAGCTAGTATAGAAAAGAATAATGGTATATTAGACATGAGAGAGATTGAAATCACTCATATGATGTATATGTAAGCCATTTAATCTTTGATGTCTTATAGTTTTCCTACATGGTGAAGCAGCCGGTTTCTGTCGCATAGGAGGGGGCGGTCGCGTAGGTCCAGAAGGAAGTGATGCAGTGGAGCCCCCTGGAGACCGTGAGGGAGAACTTGTACCATTGACAGCATGCACATTTGGTACAATGACCCATTCATCCGAGTCACTTGAAGGTGATGATCCTCCGCTTGACCTACAAGTACAAAATACTTAATATTTGAGTAGTTTTCCAAGACCAAAGATTTAAAATGTTTATTTAATCTTACAAAACCAATGTCCAAATATTTTAATGCAATAGTATCTTAAGATCATTAATTAAAGATTTACTAGACCTGTCACCAGTATCTCCATTTTGCCGTGTATTTCCATTTGGAAGAGCAGCTAGCAAGCCATAAAAACAAAAATCAAAATAAAATAAAATAAAAATCAAAGTAAAAGACAAATGTTTAATGTGACATTCAAAAATGTATGTGTAACTCCCAAGTTCTCAAATGCTTGGTTGCAAATGTAGTCACTAATGCAGGTAGATATAAAGGTTACAAGTAATGCCAAGGTCTTGTCAGGGCACAGAACACTGATAAGCATTTACAACCTGGCAGCAGTTTCCACCTTGTTACCTCATTGCTATCAAAATCATTAATAATGACCAACATGGTAACAAGCTAAATTTATTCTGCAATTCTATTCATTTTCAAATTACAGATTATGAGCGTTCCTGTTCTAAAATTGCAAATGAGTCCCACATAGTATACTGGGTTTGTGTGAGCGTGGTCTCTCACCTTGTTCTCTCTCTGCCAAGACAAAGGTTTCTGGGTCTACCTGCATGCCATCCAGACAGACTGACAAGTCACCTACAAGATCCTGGGGGTCTCTGTCAGAGCACAGCTGCAGTGTCTGCACGACCTCACATACTTAAGGGGGACAGAATACATGTCAAGTTTTAAGCAGGCACTGTAATTGCAAGACAAGAGAACACATACGTTACCATAACACAAAAGAATAAAAGCAATTATTAACAATGTCCTGGTTTAATTAAAAACTGCTCCTACAAGCACATTGTTCTCCTAGTAACGTTTATTACTAAAATAAACAAATACTGAAGAACAATTTCCTACAGGGTCTCAGATTGTTATTAATCACCTGATTTTCAAAGCAGCGTTTCCTTTTTTAGCCCAAACTGTGACAGGGTGAAAACAGCATAGCTGAAAAACTCCAGTCACATGGAATGCCTCAAAAACCATGTGCAACAAGAATCTCATTCAGTGCTTTGAAAATCACAGACAAGTAGCTCTTACACAGAATGTAGACCAGACTGTAATGTCACATGTTTTGTGTATGCTATGCACACTGACCAGGTCTGAAGAGGCATTGTATTTAGT